CGCTCGGCGAGGATTTCGAGGGGAAAAATGGCGGTTTAATTAAATTCGAACTGGCAAGAAGGCTGCCAGAGGCACAGGGTCGGTAGCAAAAATGGACGCCGGCCGCGGGTGTACGGGGACGAAGACTTATTCGATCGTTTCGGGACCCGTTCCAGCTACGGATCTGCCGCAAAGACACCCGATTAATTGTCCTGATTCGTAGCAACGACATACTTTAATTACGCGGAGAGATCCGCGGAGGCCGCGCGTGATTAATTGGAAGCGTGCTCTGGAGCAGTTAGCCCGGTGCCGGCCGGAAAATCAGAAAGGATAATTGTGCGAATTACCAAGGAATTGATGCAATTACGGTGCGGAGTCTCGGCGGCATTATCGCGGCGTTGAGGAAAGTTATTCGTTCGCCCCGCGGCTCATTATGCAGCGAAGAATTAATGAAATTTGAAAGTGCATTAATCTTCTGGCGCGCGTACAAGGTAAGATTGATTGCGGCACACTTAACGCTCCTCCCGCTCTATGCTTCTCTTTTTCCCTTCCTTCGCCCTTTTCCACCTCTTTTTCTCCTTTTTCTCTCCTTTTTCTCCCCTTTTTTCTCCTCCGTGCCCCCGCCCCCGGCCCCTGCCAGGCCTTAATTCACCTATCGAACCGATTTATCTCGACAACGTGTCACTTCGAATTATATCCTCACGTGGAAAACTTATCGAACGACTAACTAGACCGCGATTCTCCGCTATTAACGGGTAGTATTCTCGAATTCATTAGCGACGCGCGCCAAGGGGAAAAGAATAATCGATCCCGAATCGGAGGAAGGGCAACGGAAACGTTGGAACAAGAACGATTAATCTACTTTTCCCCCTTTTCCTAACCGAAGATATTAACGATCGCTAGGTAGCCCGCGTACGGAGGACTGGTCTCGGCGCGGTTCACGAGAGATTCGTTTCATTAAAACGTTCGACCGGTGGAAATTAAAACTGGAAACAGGAGGCAAAACGTCGCGTTATATGAAAATGCGAGCAAAACGGAGCTTAACGTTCTTCCGCTCTAATTTTTTACGCGAATGATCGCATTATGCGGCACGTTTGTGCGAAAGATAATCGCGGTAGCGCGAGGCAGCGGGAATTATGAAATATTCCGCGGCATCGTGGATCCAAACGATTTTAGATCCGTTATGGATCACCAGGATGACACCCCGAAACGCTCCGACGTGCCAAACGGAATTATCCAGCGGCAGCCCTGGATCGTTTGTTCCCCGAGAAAAATCGCCGATCGTCGGCGGACCTGGGAACGTCCCGAATTCGCCGCAGGATGGAATCCTGCGCGGAACTCCTTCCACGGGGATAACAGATCTGTTTTAAAGCTACGAAAGTAGCCGCGCGCCGGTAATAGCGGTGGTACGCGAAGAAGAAGACGAAGAAATAGAAGAGGCAGATAAGGTGGAAGGAAGAAGAGGACGAAAAAGAGGCTGAAGAAGAAAGTAGATGGGGCAGGGGCGATCCATTAGTAGACACGTCAATTCAGCTCTTAAGAAGCGACTGACTTAAAGCCGCTTCTATCTATCTCTTTTTTCGGCCACTCTCTCTTCCTTCTTCGCCTTCCCCTCCGTCGTACTTATTAGCGGAGGCCGACCTTGCCTTTTACCTTTTCTTCTTTCTCTCATACGGTATCATAATTAATGATAATTCGATTAGCGGGACAAGACTTGGACTCTGGCTAAGCAGCCTCCGTTCTCTCTCTCTCCCTCTCTCTTCCCTTATTTTCCTCCTCTCCGTTTTAATTCCTTCCACGGACCCCCTCCTTTCTCCCCCTTTCAATTTTCTTCCTCCTCGCGATGAACCGCGCAGCTCTTCTGAATTCTTCGGCAGCGCGAACGTATAAATGACTCGATTACCGTTAACCTTTGCCGAAGAAATTACGCCACCATTTTTCTTCTCCACCTTTTCCCCGTTTTCCTTCACCGCGTGCAAATTGCGCTCGTGTTGCCCTATTTTACACGATATCGGCCGATTTTCAACGGCAAGCAGAGGCGTGGAATTAACGTTGCTTCTCTAATTCGTTACACTTTCTCTACTCTCATTTTGCGCGTTCGTACAGTCTGCGCGCACACCGGTCGTGTTCTTCTTCGTGTTGTCCTCGACGACTAGCCCCCGATCTCGAATTCGACGACGTCCCGCCCTTTGCCTGTCCCTCCTCGCGTCGCCGATCGAACTTAACACAATGAAATAAAGATAAATCGAGGGCTACTTAGTTGCTACCAAGCGCGAACGTTTGATGGACGCGCGAACGATCTCGCTATCGGGACGCATTAATCGATGCGAAAAGGCAGCTCTCGGGAGGGGGGCCGAAACCGCGAGCGAAATAAAATCGGAGAGTCATCCACGATGACTTTCCTCCTGTGCTCGCGCCGAGGATCGATCTGTCGGATCGTACCGAATCGGAGGAGACAGAGGGAGCAGTGGGAGATAACTCACTGCTGTGAGCGATCTATCGCGAACGGTGACAAACGACGCGTGCATTATGCAAAATCGCGTCGGTTATCGATTACCGTAATCCAGTCGCGAGCAACGAGATTACACGAAGCTTAGCGATACGACGAATAGAATATCGAACCTCGGACCGGAAGAGGATGAAACCATGTTAATTCCCCTCGTCGAAACGGTTGCCGATTCTCGTGGTGTACCGCCCGTGTATCATCGATTGATACCACCACCCTCTTCCACCCTCCCTCGCCCGTTCCCCCTTTGAGCGCGTAATTTTTTCGTTAACGGTGGCTTTCGATGACGCAAACCGGGCTGCAGGCAGGGAAAAAAGGAACGAACCAGCGCCCGTACGAAATTGTTTTGTCGATTTTGACCCTTCCGGCGAGAGTGTCGCGTCGATAGCTGCACGACCGCGTGCACCCGATACAGGCAAGAGTGACACGGTAAAAGACAGTCGGTGGCCAGAGGGTTTTCACGACGACAACGACGACGACGACGAAGTGGACGACAGTTCGTTCTCGAAATTGGAATTATCGGATATACGTTCGGACTCTGGGCCGATACACGGTTGTTTCGCTTCCAGCCGGACGACTAATTAGCCGCGTGCACAGCAGCGTGCCACTATCACCAGCCAAACCAGATTGTCGCGATACTAACGATTTTTCGATTACACGCTAGCGTCGCCCGCTGCATCCGCCGCGAACGCCGCTGCGACGACGCTAACGTCGTTGATTTCCGAATTCTGACAGGAATTTAAAGGGGTGATCGATACCGCGTTAATTCCCACAGCTTTTCCTCCGCTCCGCAGATCGATCCGCTAAAATTCCCACCGGGATGAAGTACACGGAGTTACCCAGTCTACGTGATTCGTTTAACCAATGGGCCACCGTGTCGGCAACGGTAAGGTTAATGTTTGAGGAACGGATAGAGGAACGATAATCGTCGAGTATGCAAAGCGCACGATTAGCGTCGACGAAGATGACCAAACCCGACGAAACGAGCTGGCCGAACGTGGGTGTACCAGTTGACACTAGATCGTGTCGTCAGGAGCGTGGGTCTACGATCTCGATTTCAATTTTTAGAGAGAAATCGTTCGAGGATTGCTTCGAACCCCAAGCTAACAAACCAGCGAATCAAATTTCAATAATTAGCTTGAATTTCCAGCACGAAATTATCGCGGGTGTTATTAACAAGTTGACTGTCATGGTGGTCATCAGTGACCAGTGTTTGTCTCCTCAGTGGAGCCACAGTGGTCGCCAGTGTCCGGCGATATTAATTTTTTAAATTTATATTTGTTTTATCCCAACCTTATTCCAATTTTTTGAAAATTAACGAAGAATTAATAATTTGCACCATGTTTTTGTTTTTTGCCATATCGTTTGATAATTCTACGTTATGTTCTAGGAATAATGAATGTTTTATCATTGCCCCTTGTACCATGTATAAAATGCGTGGCAGTCAAAGTGTCGATGCATTATTAACCTGCCTAATAGGAAGAATACTGTCACGCACGTGCAACGATAATTGCTCTGTTGGTCTAATCACGTCGGACGGAGCAGCCGCCGCAACGTGCCTCCATTTTCCTCGATTCCTCCCAAGAAAATTAATATCAAACGACGATGAGCAGCGAGATAACTAGGATAGCTTCTCGCTTAATAATGGTTCTTTAATAGCCGCGATATTATTCGTTTTATTTATTCCCAGCAATATTATTCGTTTTATATATACCCATGGCAAAGTACCGTGAGAAGCTGCTAAAAACGGGCACACTCGACTAAATACGTTCCATTGACGTATGATTAAATCAAATTCCTGATTCCAGCGGAGGATAATAGCGAATGCAGTAATTGGATGAAATGATTGATCGAAGCTGCTCTATTAATAAGTCTCCGAGGGTAACTTGAGCCGTTTTGGGATTTGGGATCCAGCGTGCTGGGTCTGATACTGGGGCAGCGAGAGGAACGCTCGAGACCCGTGGTGGTTCGCGAGTGTGCCAGTCCGACGGCTGGAATATGCGTCGTTTGCATTAATCGTGTCTCGTCGATTAGGCGATTTATCGTAATCCACGATAAAAGACGCTGCGACGTGGAACCAAGTTACTCGAAATTATTCCAAATTACTCCGAGTTACCCGAGGGTACACGTCTGAATTCCAGCTCCCATTCCAGTCCCTGTTACGACGTTAATTGAAACGCAGACAGGCAGGATAAAAATAATTTCGAGAAATGCAAGATTAAGTCGTAGTTCAAGGCTCGCGTTTAAATTTAAAATTCAAAATTCCAACTTGAACTCGATTTTAAATTCGGAAGGGTCGTGTTCGCCGTACAGGAGTATCCTTGTAGCATCTTCCAATCATTGCGCGTATTTCGTGACATATTTTAGCGTTCTCCGAGAGATAGTGCATGAACAGTGTACGTAAAGGCACGAACAATCGGACGTTACGAGGAAATGGTAGTTTTCGACGATTTTTCGAAATCGAATGGACCAAGACATAGCATCGAACGCTATGAGACATAGCAACGGACGTTACCTGCATTTTCCTGAGTGTCGCGAGCGTTATCCTCCATTTCCTGCTGAGTTCGCCAGTCCAAGGATCGCGTCGATGCTGTGCCTGGGTGTACTGCTCGCTGGTTTCGGCAGGACCATGTCCTGACTGTTCTGAGAGACTGTGTCGACGAGCTGCTGCGAGTCCATCGTGGAAAATCCAAGGTCTGATCTTGGATCGGGCTACCGTTCGGTTTGGTCGCTCCTTCTGCCGCGAAGGATCTCTATGATGATCCTCGACGAACACACTACCTCTACTGCTTCATCCAGACACGAAATGACTGTCCAGGACACGTGAATTCAATCGCAGGATACATCTTGGGAAAGCTCATCCCACCACGAGCCTATCTGCCGTCGCTGTTGCTAGACGTCTTGAGTACACTCGGATTCCAAAGAAAGCTCTTCCTTTGGACACCACGTTAACAGTTTATATTTTCGCGAAGCTAAATGAACTTTGTTTACTTGCTCAGTGGATTATCAGGTCCACACGGAGGTACACGCGATCCTGGCAACGGTACCATCGGTCTGGGACATGTCTCATGGCAGACCCTTGCGCACCACTACACAAAACATCGAGGTTTCATACGAATCTTGGCTTGCAGCTTCCTCGGCACTCTGCGACGCTCGACTGCGTGTTTCTTCCTTTCTCAAACGACTCGATCCAGCTGTCCCGACAACGGAATCCTCGAGAATATTACCAAGCCGCGAGGTAGCCCCAACGATACCAGCAGGCTCTTCTTGCCCCCAAATCCGTCTTCCTTCTTCGACAGTTGCAGTTCACCTAGTCCGATCTAACTGCTGGACATTCTTCGCATCCTATCAGCTGTCTATAGCTCATCGGGTCGGGATCGGAGCAGCGAGAGTCAAAGGCTTGGTCCGTGCAGCGTGTAGGGTAACTCGTGGAGGCAACGGCGGCGGGCCAGAGGTGAAATAAAATTGTCGCCGGCTAAAGTCGAAGTTGTTGAGCGTGCGTCGTGCCAGCGAGGACTAGTCGGTTGGCCGAGCAGCGGGGTGGCCTTTGTTGTAGCTACACACAACTACTCGCACCACGACTCTGGCTGAAAAGAGGTGGTCCAGGAGTTGGCTTGCGAGGCGTGGCTTGGCTCTGCAAATCCGCGTTGCCGTTCGTGGGTTTTCGAGCCAATCGGATCTTGGATCCGAGAACATGGCGAGACAGTGGTGCTCAAACGCCACTGGAAACGCTTCACCCTCTCCTTCGGGGTCCCTAGGTGGGGTTAATTCGCAGGGGTAGAAGAGGTGGACTGGAGTCGGGCTTCTGTGACACCGTACGTCCACCGATTCGACCTTCTCGTGCGTGTACGTGGCTGGTTCGAGTGTGTGTCGGCTGAAGGGATGGATACACGGGGTGGTTAAGCGCGCACACGCGCGACACAGAGGGGTGGCTCGCGTAAACGGACGCCGCGCACACACAGGCGCGTGCACGCGAATACGAGCACGCACACACGCGAGACCGGTGCGGCTTGATTCTTGCGGCGGATTCTGGCATCCCCTGTAATTGCCAGAAATGAGGTAAAGCTTACCGCTTACGCCAAGCCTCCTACGCTTCTGGATGCTCCAAGCGTTCGAGCCGACTTGGCGCGCGCGCTATCTCACCGTGTTACGCGTGCATCACGCGTGCTCCACGCGCCGCGATTTTTCCCAAGACACTCGGTCAAGCCGTTTAACTCTTCTCTCCTCGATCGGTAGACGGCTGATTACGTTTCGATGCCGTAATTGCCTCGTTTCGATCCTCCTCCACCCTCTTCGCTGACTAATATCGTTCTTCTTCCACCACGCAGCGCTCGTTTTTCGCGAAATTTTCTCCTTCTCTGTCATTTCCGCGGAGATGGACAGTGAAACGAGGGGTTGGAAATTTTTAGAGCATAATTTCTGTCCGATTTTGTAATACCGAGATGCCATTTTTGCGTGGTATTCCATACCGATTTCTGATTTTAGATTTTCGATTATCTTGAAAATTATTTCAGAGGCGTCTGATCGAGACCAGAGAGTCGCAGACATCGTGGAGAGATTTTTATCCCGATTTCCTTTGAACGAACTTTGGAAATCGGCCAGGCGACAAAGAGACCGGGAGACGGTTCTCGCTTTTCTGGGACGACGCGTCCGGCGCGTGGATTGTTTCCTTTTTTCCCGTTCGCGCACGGAAAACCGGCGCGCACAAAACAAATCCCCGCTTCCCATTCCGCATTCGATTCCGCGTATCGTCGTTACCATTTGGCGTTTTAGCCCAGGGGGAAGTGTACGCCCACAAAACCGCGGCACAAAAGATATCCGCCTGTAGCGAAACAGTAGCTGCTCAAAATCGATCCGCCGAAAATCGAGGCAAATTATACGTTGCGGACCGATTCACGGCCCTTCCGTTATAGAAAAGCCCACCCCTTCGGTCCACGCGTCCCGATTATAATTGTCCTGCGAAATAATGCGTCCACGTTGCACACCACCGCCACCTAAACTTCCTATGCTACAAGTAATTGCACTTTCAAACGAATCCGCACGCGGCGAGTATCGTTCACGGCTGTAATTTGCCAGCGAAACGTAGAATTTACCGTTTCTGTCATTTCTAGCCAGATTTACCCACGAACCAAGAATCATCCATACTCGAGAACCCCGTTTGGAAAAGGTGCTAATTACGAAAAGGGAGCTAGTTATACGTCAAACGGTTAGAATATCAAAGATTCATTCATCCGCGATAAAAATGGCGGCGCGAGATCGGCATCGCGATCCGAGAATGATCGACGACGCCCGAATCCAGATCGATCCTCTCGAGATCCTTTGTACGCCGTTCCCACGTGCCCCTTTCGTTGTCGTGAGTCGCGTTTACGCGCGTTAACAAGCGACGCCGTTTTCCACGCGGGCAATCTCCGTCACGAATCTAGCTACCCGGCACGAGGTAGAGGAAAATGCTTTTAGGTTCGGTAGAAATCAGATCACGAGTTGCATTTAACCGGATCCCACTTACCGCGATAAATATCTACCGGCAAGCCGGGGTACCGTTGCTAGATCCACGCGTTTATTTCGTCGCTCACCCCGGCTCGAGCTGCCGCACTTACGAGCTCCAGTCTTAGCTAATTTCCCGAACGTTGATCCTCGACCCGAGGGACGCCTAGTTCCCCGGAACATCGCTCCCGTTGCTACGAAAAACCCAGGTAGTCTCGCTCCACGTCTTAACCTGTTTGACGTATTCCGGAGCGCTGATACCGGCCCGCACTTTCACAGATAAGCGAACCCTCTTGCCTCGTTTGACTCTTAGTCCTTCCTCCGGGGACCAGATACGCGTCTAGTCCTCTGGAAACTCCTCCTCCAACTGGATCAGCGTTGGAAATAGCTTCGATCCCTCATACCGATTTTTACCGTCGCCACAGACGTGACACAGGTTGGATAAATTTCGATAAGGCCCCTCGGTACGGGGTTCCGATATCTCCGAGAAGTCGGTCAGAAATTAGGAATAAAGGGACCCGGAATAATCCTCGTTTCGTCGATAATTCTCTTGCTCCGCATTCTATGCATCCTTTCGTGCAGAAGAATCCCATACGCTGCCAAGAATGCGCTACAAGGTCCTCCATTTAGGTCCCAATAGAGGGGACGAATTCGAGTCTCCGGGAGATTGGAAAGCCTCGTATGGAAAATAGCCCTGAATGGGGAATGCTCGTTGTAGAGCATCTTAAAGATCGTTGATCGGGATCGATCGGACGGTTGACAATGGCGCGTGTCCAGGCCGTCGAAAGGAGCAACGTCGGGCCAGGCGCACAAGAGAGGGACTGTTTGCAAATCGGGAGGCGAGCTTTCGAAACGGGGCATAATGGAGGAAAACTGGGCCGGCTATTCACGCGGACGTGAATCCAAGCAGCTGCGTGGTGGCCCTCGATGACCGAGATAAGTCTAATTTCGTTGTGTCGGCCATTGAGACCGCTTTGCTCCGGGATCCGCTCCAATTTTCCTCGGCCGATTCTCTAAACCGGTAACTCGGTCGTGCAACGAAGATCGCGAGGTGCGAAATAGAGAAGTATTGAAAGGAATCGGAAAGGAAGCGATGCCGGATAGTTGTCAGCCGATGTTTTCTCTGTTCGAATCGCGGAAGAAAAGCTTGTTTGGCCCACGGTAGCCACGGGTGGCGTTGCTCCAGAGGCGTCGGCATTGTGCACTTTAGACGGATTTCGCGACAGGTTTTGGGAAAACTCTCAGTCGGGGGTCCACTGCGGAAAGATCTTGGGATTTCCAACGCTTAATCCGTCGTGCGTCACTGTGTGGTTCCTCGGTGTAGCAATCTGAAGGGTGTGCGACGAGGAGGAACGTGGAATCTCGGTAATTCGATGAACGTATGCGACACGTGGAACGCGAGTATCGCCGAATAGCGAGGCTAGACTATCGGTCGTTTTTCACGGGAGATTAAGTCGCCAGAGCGAAAACTCGATGGACGCTGCGGCGTTATTTTCCGGATTGACCATCGAGGCAAGGAAAATGGTCGCGTTGCGGCGAACGCGACGAATTTACGTTTCATTTTTGGCTTTTTCCGCGGTTTCAATCGGGCCGTGTCCCGGTCGGTTGCAGTGGCGTAGAGCCGCGTTCGAGCGCGTGCGTGGGTAACTGCGATTTGGAAAACCATAGAAATGATAACCGATTGGAATGGGAATCGTTGGCGGGATTAAAAAAGCAACGTTGGCCGATGGCGAATGGCGGAGGGTGGGGGGATTTGGTTAGGAATCGAGTTAGAAAAGATTCAGGGAATGGTAGGTGGTAGGCGGACGTCGCGTGGACGCCACAGTGCCCATTTTCAACAATCCCGAAAGCGTTCGTATATTGGTTTTTAATCCGCGTTCCGCGCCGATAGCCGGCGGTCTGTCGTCTGCAAGAATTTCACCGCGGTAGGAAACGCAATTTCGCGTTCGCAATCTCTTTCGACAATGCACGACAATCGCGCAATAATCGCCGCTGCGGGAAACAAAACGCCATTGGTATTTACCAGGCGGGTTCCGGGTGGCGTGGAAAAAAGCACGGCGAATCGCGTAAAGGGCGAATCACACTGGGACGGAGTAGGTTCGCGGTGAACATCCGGTCGATCGGCATAGGGTGGTCTCTGGCTGGAGAACTTTCCTTCGAGTCGGGGAGAAAGGAAATTTCGAAATCGCCAAGTG